ATCGGAGATTTTGCCAAAGAATCAGGTAAAAAATATGGATACAAGGTTCAGGTTTTAGAAAAAAAAGAGCTTAAAAAAATAGGAATGGATGCTTTACTTTCAGTAGGGCAGGGCAGTGCCAATCCTCCTGTTTTTATCGTCATGGAGTACAAACCTGAAGGCTTAAAAAGTAAAAACCCTGTTTTGGGCCTGGTTGGTAAAGGCATCAGCTTTGATACAGGAGGTATATCTATCAAACCATCTGCCAATATGGGTTACATGAAATGTGATATGGCAGGAGCAGCTGCCGTAATTGGTGCTGTTGAGCTGGCTGCTAAATTAAAACTAAATATACATGTAGTCGGTGTAGTTCCTGCGGCTGAAAACAGTGTAGATGCCAACGCCATAAGACCTGGTGATGTTATTGGCTCCTATAGCAATAAATCCATAGAAGTATTGGATACGGATGCTGAGGGACGGCTCATTCTTGCTGACGGACTTGCATATATCATTAAAAATCACAATCCAGAGTATATCATTGACCTGGCTACACTAACGGGTAGTTGTGTGGCCACATTGGGGTACCATGCTTCCGGCATGTTTACAAACAATGATGAACTGGCCCAATCTCTTTACGCTGCGGGTGAAAATGTAAATGAACGTGTCTGGAGACTACCACTGTGGGAAGACTATGCAGCAGATATGAATTCAGACATCGCAGATATCAAAAATCTAAGCGGAAAACCTGTAGCCGGTGCTATCACTGCCGCCAAATTTCTGGAGTTTTTTACATCAGAACATAAAAAATGGGCACATCTTGATATTGCAGGAGTGGCATTTACAGATAGTGAATTTGCCAAGACACGCACAGCTACTGCTTATGGCGTGAGGTTACTGACAGAATTTATGAAAAAGCTAGTGCTACAGGAATGAAGTAAATATACATATAAAACGCAGGAATTATTTTCAAGATCAAGGCGAAAAACACAGGCGAACCCGAGGTGGTTCGGCGAGGCTTTTCAACGAAGATATTGAAAATAAGGTCAAGTTTTATATCTATTTATTTTGTTCTTGTAGCACTTGAAGCTTGACTTCTCAAAGTCAAAGTATAATTCTATAAAATTTCTTATAAAAAACCACAATTTAAAAGTAAAAAGGTGCATTTCATTTTTTCGCACTGTGATCGATTTCTTATCAAGTTTCGTTTGTGTGTCGTAGCTTTTAACTACGATGCAATATATTAAGGCATCTTGCCTGAATCGCAAAAAAAAAAATGATGATTTTTAATGTGAAGCGAAAAAATGAAATCCACCATTCAAAAGTAAAATGGCTGCTTTCAGGGGGTAGAAAACAGCCATTTTGATCTTTCTAAGCCTCTCTGAGGATCCTGTCCCCAAACATGATGAGTACCATCAAGGCAATTGTGAATATAATCATGGGTTAAAAATTTGATATAAAAGTAAGCTATTATTTCTTTGTTGTCAAGACCTTGAACTAAATTATGTTGTTTTTTAGCCAAAATTTAACATTTAGAGCTACTGAGGTATACTCGATATCTCATAAATATA